GGTCATTGTAATTAAATGCGTTCATTATTCTATTCATATTCGACTAATCACAAATACGTCGAGATCAAGTGATGACATAAAGCAGTTAATTAATTTTATTATTCTATTTACGTAACTAATTTTCCGAGACTTGACGTTGTGAATTATAGCTGGTTGTTTCTAGACTCTAGTAGTATTAGATTTGTTAAAACAAAATAAAACTACAAGTTGTAAGGCTCGCACGTGCTTGCGGTTCGTTTAATTGCAACATCCATTTTTGATTGATTAGATTATTTATCACAAATGCAATTATCTTTCACATATGTATTGTTGTTGTATGAGGTATTAAAAATTTGGAACAAGTAAAAATCTCAGTAAGATGATAACTGTGATGAAATTCACCCAATATTTATTTTGTACTACTATACAAACAAAAACTGATTATTGACTACATCGAACTAATCGCAACATATTATCTTGAACTTCGAGAAAAACCTAATATTTTCAACTACCAGGTTAAAGTTGTTCATCTATCTGCTTTAGATCACAGCTTTTGACATTCTGCTCAGTTCAGAATATAAAATAAGCTATTTTCTTCTTCTTTTTAAATGGCACTAATCTCGATAGCGGTCTGTACTTTTGTGTAAATCTACCACCTAACTATCTCATAATTATTCATGATATCAGCAATCAATTTCGGAAGGAAACTAATTTTTTTTTTATAAAAGCTTAAAAAGAGAGATTTTTTTTAGTTGGATTCTCTGAACTTGGAAACGAGAAGTGAAAGGAACAGAACACCTTAATGTATTTGTATGGGGCTATGAATTAGTAACACACTGAATGGTGACCATTATAAATGAAAAGAATGGGAAGGAGCATAAAATTTCTATTTATTCCTAATATTTTTTTATTATTTATAAGTAATAAAAATTTCATGTCATTTTTTTTTATTTTTTATAATATTAGAGAATATAGAACAAAAATATTTTTCATCTATTTGACAATGAACAAAAGGAATGCATTTTTATATGGGAAAACTGTCATTTAAATACCGAACTATCCGTTTTGAACCAAAACAAATACCAACTTGTTAATGAGTCATAAAAATCATAAACTTGTGTTGATTCGGTCAAATTAGGTATACAATTAGTCAACTTTAACAGTTTTTAAAATAACGTTAACTCCGTTTATTATAACCGTTAAGTCTCAAAACAACATTGTTTTAAAATTATGAAAAATGACCATTTAAATATCAAACTCTCCGTTTTGCGCAAAATAAATACCAACTTCTTAATGAGTCATAAAATATACAAACTTATGTTGACTTTGTCAAATTAGGTATAATATTAGTCAACTATAGATCGGAGTCCAAATCCGGAGACATAGAAAGACGAGACGCTCTAAGATTGTAGCGTGAGTAACATAATCACTCTGTTTTGGGTCGTTAGTTTCCTTTCACTTTACCTCAAAATACTCACGGGATGTTAGACATAATCTCGGATGCGACTAACAATTGCATAATTTATTATGTGTTTTTATAATTAAAAAAAAAAAAGATAGCAAGATTTTTTATAAGAAAGAAAGGAGAATCACAATTGTCATGATTAGTGGCCTAGTCTCCCGAAAGGTCATGCTCGGGTATCGTTCTAATGCAGCTCTGCCCTAAGGAGCAGGTTCGCCTCCGGCTCTACCCCACAAAATGATGAGAACTTCTCAGTAGTCTCAGAGGGGACAAGTCGGTTGACTCAGGCCATAGGTCTCTATGAGAGTTCTCATACTAACTCGTCAGGTCTCCAGACTTAGGTTATCTCAATCTCGTGCCCTCCTAGATTTTCAGACTTAGGTCACGGCTTTCAGAGATCTCGTGCTCTAACAAGTTGTTGGACTCATGCTAAAACCTTGGAGGGTCTCGTCTCTCCAAATCTCCGGATCCGGTAATATTATACCTAATTTGGCCAAATCAATATAAGTTTGTGTATTTTATGGCTCATTAAAAAGTTTATATTTGTTTTGGCGCAAAACGGAGAGTTTGGTATTTAAATGGCCATTTTTTATAATCTCAAAACGACGTTGTTTTGAGACTTAATGGTTACAATAGACGAAGTTAACGTTTTTAAAAAAAAAATGTTAAAGTTGACTAAATGTATATCTAATTTGGCCGAGTCAACACAAATTTGTGATTTTTTATGACTCATTAACAAGTTGGTATTTGTTTTGTCTCAAACCGAATAGTTCGGTATTTAAATGACAGTTTTCCCATTTTTATATAGATATTTTTTTTTATTATTTGAAATATTTATTTTTTTTGGTTATTATTTACAATGACAATTTATTCTATTCTTTTTCTACAATAATTATTTTTAATTTATTCCATATAAATTTTTTTTTTTCATTTTTATTATTATTCGAGTGGTCACGAGTTAGGGCATTAATTATTTTGAGCAAGTTGGGGTAGAGTTACTGGTTTTCTTTACAGTATTTTTACTTGTAGTGAATCTAGTGTTTTTAGATTTTGTACGACTCCTTTTCGTCTTAGCTTTAACTTAAATTTTGTTCTTCTTCATAGTGTTATTAAATTAAGAAGTTTTTTTTGTTGTTGTCAATTATATATAATTCATGTCTGCAGCAAAAAAATAGCTTTTCTTTTCATATAGAAGAGTATTGCTAGTTTTGTTTGTTTGAGAGAGTCTGTTTTCAAACATTTTGCTCGATTTCATGTTGACGAATAGTATTGTGTTATCGTCTAATTTCGATAAAATTTAAAAAAAAAAGAGAGATAAAAGAGATCACACAACAAGAATTATTCGATAGAATTCAACATTGGTTATGAAGCGAATTGTGAACAAAGTGCTTCTCTATGCACATAATATTTGGATTTAGCTCTAAGTATTTTTCTCGTTAATAATGAAGAAATCAACCCAACTATAGTTTCATTTGGCTGGTTTTTTTTTTTTTTTTGGCTGGTTTAAATTAAAAATTCTTAATTTAGTTTGATGTTACGAGAAATGAAAACTAATAAAATGAAATTGGTCTATATTCCATATTAGAGAGGTTATGGGTAAGTGGTAACATACTCACCGGAAACATGTGAAGGATGTCAAGTAGTTGAAAACTTGTAAAGCAACCAAACGGCTTCACACCAACCCTTCATTAATAAGTTGGTCAACCCTATATTAGTTATTCAATACGTTTAGTGACCTTAATACTCTCCAAATTTATACAATCGAGATTAATCATCAATCCCCAAATTATGGTTTACTTATCCTTTTGTGCTACATTAATCGCTTATGGACGAAGATTTCATTTTAGAAAAACGAGGGCACGATATACCACTAGAAATCTAGAACTGAAGCAAAATTACGATGTATAACTTGTTTTATAGCAAGAAAGATTTAATTAGATGTTAAAAGAAGGTTTAATTTTAACTTTTTTGTTAAGTTCAAATTTTACTTCCTATAGAACAAGTTATTCATTATAGTCTCACAGAAAAAGTATATTAAACACTTATTATTGTCTTCTTCTTTTTTCGTCAACTAATCTATTAAAAGTTTGTAAACCAAAATAAGCAACACAATAATAAAAGTTGGACATATAAACGATATATTCTAAAAACTTATGCTTTTGTAATAATTTGTAGAATGGTAATTTTTTTTTAACACTTTTCAAATTATGTAGAACGGTTTTTTTTGGATAAAAACTTCTGTAAAATGGTTTGAGAAAGTGAAATAAATAATTGCCGACACGGCAATTTATAACCCAAATGTGGGGTTTTCTAGTTTAGACATTAACCACATATTCTTGGGAAATTATTAGGGGGAATAGTCATGTTTAATTTTTGACAAGGGCAAGAGTTTTATCTCTCGACAGAAAAAGTACACAAATTAACATCTACTTAATTTGATTAAGAGTGCATGCACTATCCATCGCCACAAAGATCTATAAAATAATAAGAATTCGTATATGGATATTCAATATTGGTGTTGATGGGTATGAGTGTGATATGTATTTACTATTCATAGGGCGATTCTCGATTCACATAATAATGTCCATGAAACTAGAAAGCACCAAAAAAAGGGCATTAGTGAAACTCTATGTCACTTATAAATATGGTTCTTTCACAGTACCAAATTAT